ACTGTACAAGACAAATGAGAACCCAGAGCTTCAGGAATGGGGGCAGGAAAAGCTGAGGCTGCTGAGCAGCTGCAGGGGGTGTTTGGTCCACCAGAGACATTTGAGAGAGCGAAAATCATAGACTCATAGAATCACCAAGATTGGAAAAGACCTAAAAGCTCATCCAGTCCAACCGTTCACCCATTACCAATAGCTCCCACTAAACCACGTCCCTCAACACAACATCCAAATCAGGCTGGGTAACAAAGCAGCAATCTTTTGTCATCTGTAACGGAATTGGAAGGAGTGTTTTGCTACCAGGCAGTTCCTAATTATGAGGTGTTGAAGCACTTCTCTCAGGGAAGCAAGAACAGAACAGAAAATATTGGGTGTGCCTAGACCTGATGGCTCCTGCTCAACATAATGAGGTGCCTTACCTCACCTCTTGAGGCCTTTCCAACCCTACATGTACATGGTTTCATGCTCACTCCACACAGAGACATTCCTCTGCAAATCTGGCTAACAAAATTATGTTTGGGAAAGCAATTCACATAGGCATACCAGCGGTGGTATTAATTAATTTAAATAACCTCTCCCTTGAGGTTATTGTTGACTGGTTTCCCTGAGTTACAAAACAACTGCGGCTGCTTAGCTCTGATGCCATTACTGCCATTAGAGCTCCTGATGGAAGCACTGTTCCATATGTCCCTGTTTTTCAAAGCACTGTGCTCATCTGTGAGGTATAGAATTAGCAGAGGTAAGCTTCTGAAGCACCCTGAGCAGATGTTTCAGTGCTGTTTAAATACTGACTCTTACTGTGGCATCTGCCCAGTGCCAAGAGGAGGAGCTGCTCACAAGAAAAGCAGGAGCTCATTGCACCAAGGCATGCTGTGTTCCTTGAAGGTTAGCTTAAATGCCTGTAGTAACTTTAAATGGCACAGATGAGCTATCAGCCTCAGAGGATAATCACTGTTAGCTATAAGGTGAACGAGGGTTGTAAGGATGCTGTGCAGGTGCAGATCCATCTCGGTTCCAGGCGCTGTATCTCTGCAGCAGACATGCCCTGATCATGAGCTCTTAACTCGAGGCAGCTGAGGACAGCATGTCCTCCTGCTTTCTTATCACTAATACCTTTACTGCCTGCTTCTAGGGCTCTTTTAAAGGCCTCTGGCTCTCTACCAGAAACAAAGCATGAGTGCCTATTGAAACAGTCCATTGCAGTCAGGCAGAATTTCTTCTCTGTGGGAGCAGCTGCTTTTGCTCTCTTTAGGTAAGTTTTCCTGAACTTCTTCTCCAAGGATTGCTTGGGCCACCATCAACAGTTTGATTCATTTTCTTGGCTACCTTTAGGAAGACCTTTGCTTAAGCCAACTGTAGATTTCCATCCTTTCAGGTGGGAAAGTAAGGAAAAGAATGTGGAAGTGAAAAATGCAGCAGCAGCAGAAGTGTTAAAGGACTTCCTCAGCTTGCAGGGCTCATAGTGCAGTGGCACTGCTCCAGCACTGCATGTGCTGCCTGGTGCAGTGTATAAAACTCAGCAGTGGAATTATGTGGCTCAATTAACACGGTTCATAAACTGTGCAGCTCAATCAGGAAAGCCATGTACGTGGGAACAATGTGAGTATAAATAGATGCCTGAAGTAGAAGATGCAGTTCAAGTGGAAAATGATGCAGGCAGGTAATGAAAGTACACTAATTGACTAGCAGAATGTGAATGTGGGAGGGTGAGTGCATGTATGTATGTGTGGAATTTGATAGAAGTATTAGGTTGATGCCTACTTTTATTTAGCAGGAGAGTTTTCAACCCTGAACGTTCCACTTTGGTGTAATTGCCTCATTTTGTGCTCTGATTATTGGGCTGTAGTGTTCAGTATGGCCCAGAAATACTTCTCATAAGCCAGTCCAGCTTACACCAACGATTGCTTCATAAATGCCTGCATCATTATTCACTCCTTTATCTGGGACAGCAAACAGGGAGAAGGAAACTTGAGGAAATACCTGCTGGGGAACAAAGGTATAAAATCTTCTAATAAGAGTTGCTTAGTTAAGGTCAGTATGCTTTTTATTGGCTCTTTCTTACTCCTGGGGAGAAATGTTTCTTCCTCAGAGGACATCTGTGGGGTTTTTTCCATGGGCCTTTTATGTCATTGGTTTGCTGGTGCATGTGGATTTTTATGAATACTCTAAATTAAAGAGACTCCAGCTTGACTGTGAAATTAATAGAGCTATCAAAAAAACCACTGTCATTATACAACAATTGTTAATTATTTACAAGCAAACTTCTGCAAGAACAGTATTGTAGCTGTCAGCATCGTAGTTATTAAAATTAAACTGCTTTGTCTGAGTAGAAGATAGCATGACTCATTTAGGCTAAGTGCTATGAATACGAAATATTCTGTTTCTCTTCACCAATTAGTCAGGGGGAGAACAATAGCATCTTTCTTTCCTAACAAGAAGTTTATTTAAAGAAGTCTAGCAAAATACATTATTGTCAGGGCTTTGTTCAAGAAGGACACAAATTAATCACAGCTATTATGAGGGTTCAATGCCAGCTTTTTCTAGGATGGGAAGAACTCTTTTCATAAACTCAATTTTCCTTTCCCAGATGGCGAAATGGACGTGAAAACTTCTTGCTTTATTGCAGCACGTTGCTTAGTATGTGCGTTATGTGCTTTGGAGTCGTGGGTTGCTCAGATGCTCTTTGCTGTCTCTAATTTCATCTGTCTTTCCAAGCATATTCCGGTTCAGTGGTAATTTGTGCTCTTTGTGTAGTGGGTTATTTGTTTTATAAACAGCAAGAGGGAAGTCAAGGAGCTTTCAAGAGGGCTGCAGTGGGTGGCTTGGGTCAGGTTCCTGCTAGATTCCATTCTGTGCCATCTTGCATCAGCGAAAGTTTCCTCATCTTGGCGGTATTAATGGTGCATAGCAATGAGCCCATTAGTGGAAAAGGAGAAGAATTAAGGTATGAATATGTCAGGGTTGTAAAGGGTGAGGTTAGCGTGGCAAAGCCCTGCAGCAAATAGACAGATTGGAAGGGATTGAAGCCCGTAGCTGGGGAAGTGCCACATCACTCTGTCTTTCCCCACAGTAACGCCATCAGTCTTCTTTTCAAAGCTCGTTTGGGTCTCTCACACTCGATCTTTCCTTTGCCTTGCATTCCCCAGCCTGCTGTCTTTGCTGGTTTTGTTTCTGCTGCAGATGATTCTGGGAGCAGAGAACATTCACTGTAGAGGAAGATGTATTCTGTGCAGGACCCTTCACTGCCGTGCACCTCTCAACACTGAGAATGGATGGTCTGAGAAGAGGATCAACGCTCATCCTTTTCACATAAGCCTTCCCGGGACTGTGATCAGTTGTGACTGCAGTTTGAGTAAGCATAAAACCAGCTTGTGCTTCTGCTTTCCTTCTGAATAAAAATTGAAGAGATTTTTCAATGCTGGGGGGTGTGTTACTTTGGTTGTTATGAGAATCATAGCATGGCCTGGGTTGCAAAGGAGCACAGTGTTCATCCAGCTCCAACCCCCTGCTGTGTGCAGGTCACCAACCAGCAGCCCAGGCTGCCCAGAGCCACATCCAGCCTGGCCTTGAATGCCTGCAGGGATGGGGCATCCACAGCCTCCTTGGGCAACCTGTGCCAGTGCCTCACCACCCTCTGGGTGAAAAACTTCCTCCTAATATCTAACCTAAACCTCCCCTGTTGCAGTTTAAAACCATTCCCCCTTGTCCTATCGCTATCCACCCTTGTAAATAGGTGCAATTCCTCCCGTTTATACGTTCCTTTCAAATATTGAAATGCCACAATGAGGTCTCCCCACAGCCTTCTCCAAACTAAACAATCCCAGTTCTCTCAACCTTTCTTCGTAGGAGAGGTGCTCCAGCCCTCTGAAATTGAAAGTGGGTTTGCAGTGAGTGAAGGAATCAACCCGTTAGTTCACACTGTGCTGAGACTTAAATTGAATTGGATGCAGAAGTAAAATCCAAGGTCCTCTTTTACACTCTTCTAGGCCTAGAGACAAGAAGAAATGTGTTTTGTGTGCACGCTGGCTTAGAGGGAAGATGTGGAGAATATGCAATCACATTCTTCTACATAATCTCTTAGCGTTGTTACAGGCATGTTGTGTTCACCCACCATTAAGTTTTGATTTGGTTGTGGAGATAATGCTGGAATGATCTGGAGGGGAAAAAAAAAAGCTATTCTGAGCACATTTACTGTTAAAATTGAATACTTCTATGACTGAATGCTTCTTCTGTGGAAAAGAGTTCTTTTATCTATGATTTCTCAATTCTCACTGTGCTGTAAAGGGACAAAAGCCCTAAGAAGAATGGTGCAAGAATGCCTCCTCCTTCTGTTTGGGCAGGCTGTCTCTTTTCTTCCAGTAGCTGGCTAGGAGTGCCTGACCTTACCCTTTGCTGCACAGAGTTGGCTCATTTCTTATTGCTTTGGCTGTTATTAGAATAATGTCAGTGCTGGGACAACCCAGTGTGGGTTTTGCTCCTGTGTTCTGCCAGAGGAGGGCATCGCCCTGTGTTGGTTCTGCGCTACGTGTAGGGTAGGATTTAGTTACTGCTGATTTGTTGGAAATCTGAAATTTACTTATTGAGAGAAGGTTAAGGGGAAGAGTATCTAGATATGCTTAAAGAGGAGGGAAAGCACGTTTTCTTGCGTACAAAATGCTGCCGGAGTGCTTTAGATGTGATTCCTCCAGAGCAGCTGGCAAGCTGTAGAGGTGCTTGGGTAGGTCCTGGGCACTGCTCTCACATGGGTGGCTTTGTCAGCAGTGCTGGGGGTGGGTGTGATGCACCCAATGCCACCTGAAGGGATGCATTTCCTACCAGGTGCCCTGCTTCTTCCCGAATTTTCTTTGGCTGGTGTCCTTCCAAAGACACCAAACAAGGCCGACCTTCCCACTGGCTCCTGACAAGAGGCCCCGTAACTTACATTAACTTCTGCAATTTCCTCGTTGCTCTTAGCAGGTTATTAATTAACTGAATGTAACCACTGGCTGTTGATAAATCCTCCTAACTAATTCCAATTCCATATCAAAGCTCCGAGCATTTTTACTCAAGCTGCTGCAGCAGTTAATCTTTGTGAAGAATTTGTTCTGATCTGTTTTTGAGTTCTGGAGTTGGGGAAAACGGAGAGAAGATATTTGTTTGCTTGATTCCACATGACAACTCCAGGGTAACTGAATAGACTGTACGGTTGGTTTGACAAGGCTGCGCCCGCGCCAGCAGCCTCACATACCAGAGACCGGGGGATGGAAGGGGAACTGACAGCCCTAATGGATTTTATCAGAATTTCTCTAAAGACCGACAATTTGCCTTCAATTATTAATGTTTTTCCGAGGTTTCTCTTCTGAGAGGTATGAATAACTAACTTGAATATGCATTCATGAAACGTTTTCAATAATGAATAAATTGCTGCGTGGAAAGAAGTTGAGCAGCACATCCAAACATTAAATAATGGAAGAGATGTCTGAGAGTTTATGAAATGTGGTATTTAATAGTGTGGCTGTTACTGGGATTTCTGTGAATGCAAAGCTGTGGTTATTGCGTGCATAACTGTATTGCAGTAATGTTTGTGCAAAACGGGTTGTAAATGAGCTTAGAGTTTCCTCGAGAGAGGAAAAAGCAGTGCCTGCGTGTCGTGGTGTGCCATGGTCTGTGTGTTAGTCCTATAGTGACAGCGGTTCATTTTGGGCTGTGAATGCGTTTTGCTTTCCCCCTCACTCTCTGAAGGCATTCTGCCTCTGTTATTGCCTCACATTGGGGAACTTTGGGAATGCAGATGGGGAAAGGTGTTGGCCGCGCTGATTCACGCACTGAAGAGAAATCAGAGTGGATTGCTCTGTGCCTGGGAGGAACTTCAGGGCAGGTGGTGGTTGTTCAGTGACTGCAGGAGAGCTTAAGGGACAGGGATTGGGAATCCCTTCCTTGCTCTGCTCCTGCTTTCATTTCCAGAAGGGAATTCGGGGAGCCTTGAGCTGCTGCCTCCCTCAGATGCAGAAAATTGTCTCCATGGTGCATAAGTTACCAAGTAGACACGTAAAAAGAAGTGTAGGTGTTTTTGTGGAGTTAGCAAGTGTTTGCACAAGTGAGTTAATGAGAATGTAGGTGCATTCTTTCCACTCTGCATCAGTTTTGTTCTTGCACCCAAAGTTTCGTCCAAGATCTGTGAGGTCTGGCTTGCTGAAAGCAGCACCTGACCAATAAATAAATCCTCCCTGTTCAGTCTGTTTATCACAGGAGAGAATATGTGCATGCCTAGGAGTGCTGCATGAGGATGGGCTGCTGCCCAACAGCTGCTCTGTTAGAAGAGATGCATCTCAAAGCGTGATGCCTCTCCTTCTTTTACAGTTGCTTCCTTTTTCATTAAAGTCTGGGACAACTCACAGCTCCCCAGCCTGCAACAAGGCAGGAAAAAAGAAATCAAGCATAGTGTAATTAGTAGACTTTGTGATTCCTTGTTTCATCATCTGGTGCAGCTCAGCCTCCACAGGATTTCCAAGCGACATGAAGTGTGGAAACCTGTCATGGCAGCAAAAAGCAGAGGGGCTTCCAGCAAACAATGGTGGTCTTGTGGAAAGAGTTTAAATGCATGCAGCCGACCCCATGGGAACTGCCGTGCTCTGTTCACCCTGTGTGGAAATGATGCTCTTTCAAAATCATCTTTAATCCTTCTTTTTCAGTGAAAAATGTGAGAACTTTATTTAAAGTTTGAGTGCTTTTTTTTTAGGAAGTTCAATGTGTTTCCAACACAAAAATAAACTGAATTATTGGTGTAGCGCACAGGAGAGAGGAGTTGTCCGAAATATCTTGCAATATTCTGTCCCTAAATTATGTATGTGAATATTCCTGGGAAAGTTTCAGGCAAAAAATTAGCAGGAAATGTATCCAGGCCTTATTTTTTTTTCCTGCATGGATGCACATGGAGAAGGAAATATCCATCAGTCTTGGAATTAGTGGTTCTGTAATTGAGACATACAGGAAAAATCTATTCTGTGGAATTAGGAGTGAGCTGGGGAGAAGAATTTCAAGAGAAGGGAATGCTGTTGTACATACAGAATGGAAGACTGCTTTGACAGTGATTGCAGTCCACCTCCTGTTCACAGAGAAGTGAAATAAAACGAAATATGCACTAGTTGAAATCATTTGTCCCCACCCCCAGAGAGAATGGAAACAGAAACCTCTCTTTGTTCCATCCGTGTGTGTGAATAACATCAAACTCCTGCAGAGTTCACTAGATCTGTGGTCCCATCTGTGTGGACTTTGGGTTTTGCTTCATATTTATTTCTTAAAATAAGACCATATCCTAAATACTAACCCCAGTGAGTTTTACTCCTGGTAGTATCATGCAGAATATATTTTACTGTCTGCACACAGACTGCTGAAGAGGCACTGAGTTACTGATACTGGTTTGCTTTTGCATCTTCCATCCAAGGCATCCCAAGCACTTCGTGCCATCCAGTCTGCAGAGCATGGCAGCACATCTGTGAGGTAAGGACATCAATTCTATCGATGTATTTCTTTATGTTTAATGGATAGAATAGGTGAAGCATTAGGTTGTGATGTGCCTGGGATTGCTATGGGCCAGCAAGGCTGCTGGCCTCCCAGCCCTGTGATGGATGTCCCTTTCTTCAGGGAAAATCCTGAGAGCACCTTCCTCTCGTGTATGTTGCTTCATGTACAGTGAATCAAAAATACCACAGCACAATTCTTGCCCTTTTATTTTTAGTGGGATAGCACAGTTTAATTGTATTTTGTCCTTCTAATGTCCTTCTGCGAAACCCAAATTTCTGATGAAATTCAAGGCTCAGCTTTTTTGCTTAGAGTTCAATCGGCTCTCGCATGCCCTTAGGTCCAAATGTCATTTCATGTGGAATTTTTGTTGTTAATCTTCTATTATTGGGTGAATTATTTTGCAAACAGACCGATTCAATTGCTTTAAGCTCTGAACCTGTCAGGCTAGCTTTTATTCTGAATGCTTCTGATAAGGAACTTTGGTAAGAATGCTGTGCCTCCAGCAAGTTACCAGGCTCACCTTGGTGGGGAGCAGCTTCAAGGTCCCTGGGAACTCTCAGTTTGTTAAGAAAAGAGAATCTAGGTGCAGAAAAATCTCCTTCCAAATTTTGCTTCTGATGTGGGAGTGCGCCCCAAATGAGTGGAATGCCCTGTATGATGTGCTGAGTCTCACTTTTTGCACAGTGATGACCTGAAGGTTGCGATGAGAGCCAAAGTCAGCGCTTTGTTCCCATGTTGTGACCACATGAAGGGGCAGATCCCTGCTGCTAACCCTGCAGACTCTGAGCTGATGGGGATCTGTGTGGGAGTCGGGAACTTTGGCAGCATCTTCGACCTGTTTCCTCTTGACGGAGTGCCTGGTGCCCGTCTCAGATGCTGCCCTGACAGAGATGTCTGTCTGTCTGTCTGAACAAGATGATGCTGATAGGTGATGGGAAGTCAAACTGATGAGGCACCTCACAAACCATGCTCTGAGTTTAGTAGTCCAACAAGCCTCTTTCTTAGAACCCAAACGAAACAACAGAATGCTTTACAAGACGTGTCGTGTGTATAACAGCAGCAGGTAAGGTGTCATCTGCAGAAGGCCAAGGAGGGGTGGCCGTGTTTTCAGTGTTGCAGCTCAAAGAAAAGATTCAATGGGTCTCTATTCCTGAATTTTAATAATTCTGTGAGCAGATTTTGTTGTGCTACTTCTGAATGCAACATTAGAAGCCAAAGCAAACTTCAGACCCTCTTTTATATTCATGGGAAGTGTTGTAGAATGACAGCATTTTTTCTTTGGAAAGACAATCTCCTGTGCAGCAAAGGAAAAGAACAAGTGAACAAACGGTGCGAGCTTACCGAGGGCTTTTTTACCTTCTTCCCAGGCAAGGATAGCTTTCCACTAACACAGAGAGTTCTGTTTTCTCTATTAAAAACAACTGCACTCAAGTGGAATAGGCTTTGTATTTTGTCCCAGAAACAGAGTTTCATTCAAAGATAAGACCCCTCTGCGTTATGGTGCCTGTAGTCACCTGATGGGGCCGCTGGTAACTTTTAGGCTGCTTTAGTCTGCATTCCTGAGATGCTTTACTCCTGGCACTGCAATTAACAGCTTCGGGTTCACTGCCTGCCACCGGATTCCCTGCTTGCCACCCGTGCCCTTGGATGTTGCCCACGGTCGCAGGAGAGCAAAGCAAATAGGCTTTGTTTCAAAGAATGCAAACTTTGCACCCATAGACATCGCTGAGGATGCCGTTGTGGAGTTGTGAGCAGGTAAAAAAAAATAATAATAATAATAATTAAATAAAAGTTTGTAGCTTTTTGATGTTTTGATTTTAAGTTGAGAATTGCTGAGTATGACTACGATGGGCCCAGTCTCCCAGTCTGGAAGCACGCTTGGAGAATCTCTTGCTATCCTTGAAATCAATAAATACTTCTTGCGAATAAATGAAGAAAGAGGGGATTGTTGCCTTTTTGGCAAAATGTTTGTGTTCTAGTGCATGGTCTCGAGTTTGGCAGTGCCTGGCTGATGAATGTGTGTGCCCAGAGCTGCCTGGTGGTTCTTGACACCTCCAGCAGGTTTATCTAGTGCAAACCTGAGTGAAAAAGGAGGTCATACTGATGGGGCCTTTTCTAAAGCTCAAACACAGACTGTGCTGTACTTGGGAAGAGTGTTGTGCTTTTGTCTGTAGTGAAAGTTTGGGAATTTGGTGGAAAAACGTTGTTTTACTTACTTAAAAATTGCATGGTGTTGGTGGGAAAGGATAGGAGAATGCACTGCAGACTGGAGCTGAGGGACCACCCTTGTCCTGCTCCCACCAGTAGAGCTGTCATGCAGCCTCCTGGAGGCTCAAGGACAGGTATTCTCTGCATGCAGACATTTGGACCTGTCTTTGCAATGTCCACACAAGGTGTTCTGGGCCCAAGGGACTCTGTCCCTTCCTTGGAACAGGAGTCTGAGGTTGGCCATGAAAACTCTTGCTTTGAAGATGGATGAGCAGAGGGTCCCGTCCGCATGAGGCAAGACCTGGCAGCCCTCAAATAGCAAACAACACTTCTGAAATGGCAGTCAAATCAACAAACCTCTCCTGTAATTAAGTCAAACGTCCCCTCTAAGAAAGCTTTAATCACCACAGTTCTGGGACATGAGTGCAGGACTGTTGTCCTTTGTGAGCGCCTGCTGAGCCTGGCCCTGCTTGGCTTGTCTTCTGTTGCATTCCCCAGCCAAGGAGATGTCCATAGCTCCAACTCAGCCAAATGTTTGTTTTACATGAGCCAGAAAGTTTGCGGGGATCGTTTTGACATCAAAAGTGACTGTTTTTTCTAAACAAAAGTCATTATCTTGAGCTCACAAATGGCGTATTTCTTGAGTCAGGACACAAACCCAGAAAACCAAGCAGCCCAGCACGCCTGCTCCAGCTCCACTCTACTGCTGACCATAGAAAGGAGGTCGGCACTATGTTTCAGTTAGCCCTGTCAACCTTTTTTTGTTTCCTGGTGATCTGCCTTGAGAGGACAAGCTTTTTTTTTATTTAATAAAAGCCGTGTCGTTTAGCTAGTTAGTGTTTGAGGGCAAAAGTCCTTCAGCATGCAATTCATGGTAGGTGCTTAAGGACATCTCTAGGTCAGAGGGTTCTGCATGCTGACTCTACGTACCATTTAAAAATCTTCACTAGCTGGATGGTAGTGAGTACATCAACTACTTCTTCCTCCTTGTTTTTCTCCCCCTTTTAGATTATGGCTGAGGAATGAAGTCTTGAAATATGCTGCAGATTTATTCTTCGTGTTGAATGGACGGCTGATGGACAGGATTGTTTCTGTTTTGCCCTCATCTAACTCCTTCGAGCACATGGTGTGTGCAGAGGCCTGGCTGAGTGGCAGCAAGTGCCACCATGCACCATTTATTTGGGCTGGTTTTGGCACAAAGGGACCTTTCACGTGCAGGGGATCTTTTCTCCTTGGAAGATGCTGAAATCGAAGGAAGCCTCTCTGAAGCTCTTGAACAAATAAGGACAATTAGTTCATCTGCTGTAAGTGAAACACTGTCCTGTAATTAGTGAGATTAAATGTATTGTATTAACAAAGTGTTAAAGATGGGGATGTGCACAATTTAAGAGTTTAAACTCAAGAATGCCAAGCAAAATATAAGATAAACATTTTTGCTTCCTTTCCTTTGTCTGGGACTGGCTCCAGGCTTGGGGGCTGCTGCCAGGGCACTGGTTAAAATAGAATAGAATTGCTCAGGTTGAAAAAGGCCTTAAAGATCATCAAGTCCAACCACAACCTAACCAAACTACCCTAACTAACAGCCCTCTGCTAAATCGTGTCCCTGAGCACCACATCCAAGTGGTTTTTAAGCACATCCAGGAATGGTGACTCAACCAGCTCCCTGGGCAGCCCATTGCAGTGCTTACATCAGTGCTCCACTGGCTCCATTGTGGAGAAGCGTGAGGTTACACAGTGGTTGGTGAGCTCCTGAAGGGCAGCAGTCCATTGCCAGAGTCCAACCCCTTGTATCTTGTCCCCGTGCCATCCCTCATCTGTGTGTTTTGCCTTTAACTCGTGTCTGGTTACAGAACAAGTTGCATCCAGTTTAATGATCAGCCCATCCATTCCTTGATTATCTTCTATGGGAGACTTGAATCAGAGCCTCAAACCCCTCAAATGCACTTCTGGCTAGGGTACGTGCCAGCCTGTGGGAGGAAGGGGAAGTATCTGCGTGCTCAGATACTCAGCAAGCCACATGATCATATTGCAACAACTGCAATTTTCTGGCATGACGTTGGTCCACCTTTCATCTTTATTAGTTTTCAGGGTGGAACAGCATGAGTGAGACTTAGGGATGGTGATGTTGTGTCTGGGTATTGCTCTTCCCAGCAGCCTTTCAAGTTGCTAAGTGCTACCATTCTCTAGCCATGTGGGATGTGCCCCAGTAATTATGGGGGATCACGCAGTTTTGTGATGAAGTTTATTTACTTGTTTCTTATTCCTATTGTGTTAACACTAATTCAAGCTAACTGTGCTTATATCAGGCAACATGATGGGTAGTATTTGGACCCAGTGTTTATGTGACTATGTGGATATAACTGTTTTGGTTTGATTTTTTATGGTGTTCATGGGAGGAAAATCCCATGCAAGTGGTTGTAAGGCATGTAGCTCAATATTTTGTAGAATCATGGAATTGCTCAGATTGGAAAAGACCTTACAGATCATCAAGTCTAACCACAACCTAACCACACTACCCTAATTCTAACAACCCTCTGCTAAATCATGTCCCTGAGCACCACATCCAAATGGTTTTTAAACACATTCAGGGGTGGTGACTCAACCACCTCCCTGGGCAGCCCACTGCAGTGCTTAACAACCCATTTTGTAAAGAAGTTTTTCCTGATATCCAACCTAAATCTCCTCTGGTGCAACTTGAGGCCATCAAGAAGGGCAGCCTATTAAAAATCATGTGATAGCATAATCCTTATCTAGCAGTAAAGAACATTAGCACTTGGAGCAGCATATTGTCTATGACATGTCTGATCAGTGTTCAATCAAGATAAGCATCCACTGTAAAGGTGGAAGCAAGCAAACAGTGGGCAGCCCCAAAACCTTTATGCCTTCTGGTTAATGCAGCAGGGTCTGCTCCCAGATGTGCTTGGCACACGTCTCTTTATTTCAACCAGGACTACCAAACCAATGACAACGACCAGGCCGTTGTGGAAATCTGCATCACTCGCATCACCACTGCCATCAGGGAGACGGAGACCATAGAGAAGCATGGGAAAGCCCTGGTGGCTCTCTGGGAGTCGTGTCTGGAGCACAATCTGAAGCCTTCTGGCAAAGACGAGGACACGCCGCATGCGAAAATTGCATCTGATATCATGAGCTGCATCTTGCAGGTGAGAGGGAGCTGAAGGCGAGGGAGTGCCATGCATTCCTCAGCTATTCAGCTTTATCTCCTAAAAGGTAGCAGCACTCTGTGTTATCTGAGGGTGTGTGAGAGTGGCTGCATGTCTTTAAAACCAAGAATTTGACCCCCAGTGCTAATATATATTATTATGTGATATCCAGATCAGTGAATCAAATCTGTTGCAGCTTCCTTCAGAAATGTTGCACCTGCCTAGAGCCAGGTATCTTAATGCTCCTTTAATTCTTACTATTTGCATTACATGTAAGAGTTGCAGGGGGAGCCACAGGACCATCATTTGGAGAAATAATTGCTTTGGAGTGCATTGCTATGGGTTTTAGGAAGAAAACAGCAGCAAGCAGCTGGGTTTGGACACCAGCTAGGGCACAGCTTAAACTTTCCAGACTGGAGACATATCTTGTCTTCGTAGTACCTTAAAAACCATACTGAGGCATGCAATGGCTTGTCCTCACTTTCGGTCTGCGCTGTCGACAGCTGTGTTCCCTTATCCAAATGTTTTAGGGATTGCTCTGTTACAGATTGCTTTGAGAAAGGAGTTCACTCAAATGAGATGAGAAAGTCATAAAAGCATTTACTGCTCTCTGAAACAGAGCTGCTATCAGCAAGTTCCTTTGCATGAAAGAAAACACAAAGGCAGGCATGAACTGAGTTTTGAATGCGGTACGCGAGGGTTAGTTGAAGTTGTAATGAATATCTGACAGCTGGGTTGAATCTCACAGCGTGTTTCTGTTGATATTAGCAGCAGGGAGGTCCCCTAGGTTTGCAAACAGTACTATATCATATTATTAAAATCTGTTTTTCATTGTCACCCTCACAATTTCCTAAGTGTGCTGTCATGCCCTGATACTTACAATGGAACAAATGAAACCTTTCTTCTGTTGGAATTAAAGCCTTTTCTTATCTAAGTATTTTATCTTTATTATAAGGAAAAAATATCCCATTCTTCAGAATTTTTAGATCTGTGTAAGCACTCATCACAGGGCCAAGCCTTATCCTCTCATTCTTTCTGTACGCAGTCCTAGCGTGTAACTTGGAGGCAGAATTTGGCTCCTACTTGCTATCTCTCATCCAAAATGTAACAAGGCATTACGTTGATTTAAACACGCTGCTGCATATGGATCTATTCGTTTTGAAGGCTTTTCTCATTGAAACACAGTTTTGGTCACACAGCAGTTGCCACAAGAAGCTGCCTCAACGCCAGGAGTTACTGCAGCCCAATCTTACACAGGGGCTGATGGAAAGGGGCTGTGGCAATCCCTGTAGTCCTTGTAGCCTCTTAAATTCGCTCTTCTGTTCTTGTTGAGCAGCAAGCTGTAGCCTTCATTAGGGTCAGTCCTGATCTTCTGAGGCTGATGGCCAGGGCAGATCCCTCTCGCAGAGGTAGAGTTGGCTATATGTACAACAGAGTTGCTTTTTCCTTGGGTTGAAATGTATTTTTTTCAGGGCTGCTCCAGAACGAGCATATGTTCAGTCTGGACTACCCCTGTTGCTCACTATTTTGTTGCTTTCTGTAACATCTGGGGCCCACTGGTTGCCTGTGATTTCAGATTCTAGTTAAATATAGTCATATTGTGGGATTCTTTTCAAAATCGTTGTATTCTGGTTTCAAAAAGATGCTCAAAAGTGAGGGAAGATGAGAGAAAAGCACTGATTAAGGACCCTCCCTGGCGAATCTTGGTGCCATTTTCTTTTGTCCTATCACCTATTGCATGGGAGAAGAGACTGACCTCCACCTCACCAGTGCGAGGCCAGAAGATAGCTTTCTTCAGTGCCATGCATATGAACAATTTCTGCTGACCCCGGTGTTCAGGGAAATTGGCTGCAATTTAAGAAAGGAAGTCTTAATTATCAGAGGAAAATTGATGGTTAGCCTGTGAGCAAGCCTACCAGTGCATCCACTCATGTGTGCTCTTCTTCATTTGACTTGTATGCTTTAGATTTCAGAGTCCATCAGTTATTTTTCACCTCTCCCCTGCCCTTCAAAAAAAAAGGCTTTTCTGTTTGCACTCACTTCACAAGCACGTCACAGGACTGCAGTTTGAGCAGAGCGTGGTGACTGATGCTGGAGGGCTGTGGGCTGTCACTACACGTGGCTGCCGTGTTCACGCCTTGCTGTAAGTTCTTAAAAGCACAACAACGGATGAGAAGTTCAGAAATAACCACTGCTGGGCCCAATGCAAGGCAGACCTGTGCTCCTGTGCGTTTATCCAGCATGCTGATGTCCTGTTTTGCAGTGAATGTAGTTGGATATGGTCAAGTTTTCCCCAGCTGGGGTTGGAGAGCTGGGCAAGGGAACTGGGTAGGGGAGGACGAAGGGCAGAAAGCTGAGCTCTCAGCAGCAGGCACACGCTGCCTGCACTCTGCAGGGCTGGCTGCTGGGCTGAGCTCTGCTGGCACAGTGAGCAGCATGAGTGGGTCCCAGCAGGAGGAATTGCTCCGAGGGGTTTGCTGTGCTTTGGGGTGAAAGCAGCCTGTTCTGTTTGGATTGGTGGACATGGCTTCTGCTGTCTTCCCTGATGGACTAACCACAAAATGAATTGGTCATAATGTTGCAGCAGTTGATGTGTATGTTGTGTACTAAATATCATGTTTTCTCCTCTTGCAAAGTACAGAAATGTGTGTACAATCATCTCCCGCTGCAGCAGTTTTAGATTTCCTTCCTTGCTGTTTCTTTGAAGCCTGCTGTCAGTGCTGCCACCAAAGCATAAGCTTTCTTGACCCCTTGTTTTGCTTTTCCTGTCCCCCCCTCGTCGTTCTGATCTTTATTTTTCAATTCCTATCAGCAGGAGATGCCTTATTTCACTTCAGCTGCTTATTTTTCAGAGCTTCTTCATGTTTTTGCAGAATTACAGCCGCCCTTCGGTGATGGCCCTGGCCGTCCCAGTGGCAGTGAAATTCCTTCAGAGGGGCAATAAGGAGCTGTGCAGAAACATGTCGAGTTACCTCTCCCTGGCTGCCATTGCTGAAGCAGAGCTGCTGGCTGATCACACAGATGCCATTGTCAAAAGTGTCCTTCAAGGTATGAACGTGGATCCAACCCATAGGGTTGGGAGGGACCTCAAGGATCACGAAGCTCCAACCCTGCACCATAGGCAGGGCCACCAACCTCCACATTTAATACTAGATCGCCGAGCCCACCCTGTGACGTGTGTATATGGAACATACAAACGTTCATAAACGTGTGATTGAGTGAGTAAGGCAATCTAAATGAGCAGAAATTAACCAAGGAACACCTCTCGGGAATATGTGAACTTAATGAACCCTTTGGACTATGGGAGATTCGTTGTAGATTAGGTGACCCCCAGGGCAGGAAATCTCTCTGTAGCTGTTAGTGCACTGTGCTAATGGAGTGCAAGTAAGGAGCTGTGATAGGAGGCTGCAGTTACTGGGCTCTTCTCTTTTCTATTAGCGTCGCTGGCAGTACTCCAAAATAGAAATGAGGATGAAATGGATCCCACCCTGTGTCAGATGTAAAAGCCTTGTGGTGATGCTGCACTCTCGCCTACATCAGTAGCTTCAGATGGTTCTGCTGCTAAACTCTTTACATTTTACTTCTGTGGTTTAAAAAGGAACCAGAACTATTCAGAGCTCTAAAAAAGGAATTCCAATCTGGCCAACGTTGTCAATTTCACAGTTGCAATACAGTGCTGTTGTAGGAGAAAATCAGTTTGTTTTTCCGAGGACAGGTAATAGTAAGAATTGCCAGCAGCAGCCTGATTATTCCATGAATATCGTTGTGAAAATGTTAAGCCCTTGAATTTATTAATTTTGTGCTTTTTTTTTTTTTAATGAGCTTTTTTTTTTTAATTTGGAGAGATACCCTGAGCTAGAAAGTAATGTGGTGCTTAAGATGGTACAAATTAGTCTAATTGGTTTAAGGACAAATGCAATCAATAAGTATGAGCTGTGGGATAGTACAAACTGACTGGTCCAGGAGCAGGATATCCCTGTGGCTTTGTGGGTTGGTAGTGATCATTCTTTTAGGGCTTGTGGCATTGGATTTAGGTGCTTATGTTGTGTATTACCACTGGGGATGAATGGAAACATGGAGTGTGATGAGTTTTACAGTACAGTCATGAATGTAGAAGAGTGGCAAACATTCACAGCTGACTGCTGGCCTTCCTGTATGTATGATATTCCACCAGCAGATGTTGCTGTGGATAATCAGAGAGGGGAGCTGCAGGTTGCAGGAGGGCACTCTGCATTGGTAATGCTGGCAAAATGCTCTCCCAAATACTTTTATTTTGTGTTTTCCAAGCAGCCTGTTCAGATACAGCTCAGCCAGGGCAGGAGGGGATGGGTGCTGATGGAGGTAGCTGCTGGCTGATGGGGAAGCTGTGCTGATCCACAGTTGCTGCAAAGCAATAGTGGTTGGAAAGCATTCCAGCTGAGTCAGTGGGAATGACTGGGTTGTGTTTGGTAATGGGCCAAAGCAGTGCGGAGATAGCAAAAGGCTTCCCAAAAACCAAAGCATCCCAGGTATGGGGAATGGCAAGAAAAGCAGCCAGGAACCACTGCTGGTAATCTGTGAGGATTTTGCTGGTTCTGCTACATCCCAGGGACATTTGTTTTCACTTAATGGAGGGCAGCCGAAAAGGGGCTTGAGAGTGCTTCATTGCTTGCACAATGTTGGGAACTTGAGTGTTCCTCTGAAGTCAGCAGATGAACAGAGGTAACCTTTCACTCTCCCATAATTCAGGTTATTTGCACATCTTATTTTGTAAGAACTTTCAGTTGTGCTCATTGCTGAGTGTTTAGGTAACTCCTATTGCGGTGGAAATTGCAGCTCTCTGAGCATTTCTTTTTCCCTTAAATGTACAGCGTGGCTGGAATGCTGAAGCAGAACACGTGGCTTTAGCCACAAAGCACAACTCCCCCCCCCCAAATGGCATAGTAAAGTGGAAATGCCATCGTCATCACTTTTATTTCTTACTACTTCTGTATTGTGGAAGGAAGGGTTGGATAGCAGCGTTGCATTCAGCAATGAGTGGGGCAACAAATGTCAAGAAACTTCTCAGACTGCAGTGTTAGGCACTGCCTCTGGCTGGTGTTGGCCTGCAGCCCTCCGAGGGGCTCTCCATCTCTACCAGACTTGATATTTGTTTCTTCTCTATTAGCTGTTAAAATGGAGCACTTAAAAACATGGGAAAAATCCAGTTTTCTATTTATTTAGAGCTTCGGTTGATGAAAACCATGAATCACAGAATCACAGAATCACAGGAAGGCCTTCGTTTAGTAAAGTATCTTTATTTACAAAACAACTTTACAAAAATAATCTCAATAAAATTACGACAAAGTCAATTTACAGTATAATACAGCTGCACTTTCTCGAAACATATCAGATTATGATGGTGAATATTACTCCTATGTGTTGGGTCAGTCGGTGGCACTAAAAATGCTTTAAACAAGAAGCTAGTTCTATTTGTAGCCTACAGATCACTAACAACACTTAATAAACAACATGCTTCTTGGCTGATGGGGCTTCCCTTGTACAGCTTATGCCAGAGGGTGAGCAGCAATAGCCAGGGAAGGCTGGGAGGTGTGCAGATCCTGCTTGGCATTGCCAGGTCTGGGCAGGAGCCCCGGGCAGCACTGCGGTACCCATAGTGGCACCCAGCTTTCAGCATAAGTTAGAGAGGCGGTGATTGTCTGACCTCAGGAATGGCTTATCCAATGTCAAGTCTGGATGTGGTATTTTCAGCGTTCTGCCTAAAGAGCAGGCGGAGATCAAATCCCACCCCCACAGCATCTCACTGCGTGAATTTGCGGTGCTAATCTGCCTTGGGAGCTGGGGAGATACAGGCTTCTTCAGCTCCGTTCCTTGTACGTACACTGGTGTTCTGCTCTTAATGATATGTGCTCTGCTTCAGAAACGGCTTTACTGGAGCTTAAGAAACATACTGGGCTCCTCCGTAAGGCAGAACCTCCGTGACTCCCCAGCCCACAATGTTGCCCCGGGAGCTGCACGCATCCTCTCCGCCCTGCGCTGCTATCTCCTCAGTGCTGAGCACTCTGTCCCACAGGTTCAACCCTGTTAACTTTCCCGAGAAGGCCAAAGCTTCGTCAAACCCTCCTCCAACACAGCAGCCGTTCTTCTCTTGGCCGATCTGCAGAATTCCTCCATCAGGAACAACATGAGTGTCAGCAATGCCCACTGCTGTGGCCGTTTGCGCTCCATCCACCCACAGCGATGCAGTCCCGTTATCTGAGCTCCAGGTGCCACACAGATGGATCCACCTCCCAGGAACCACCACATTCCTGGCAGCCAGCTTGTGCTGGGCATTACCTACGGTGAGCACTGCAGACTGCTGGCTGAGGTACAGCTGAATCTCATAGGGATTGAGTTTTGTTCCGTAGGAGAAGACGATGGTTTTGTCCAAAACCTCCGTTGCTTTGACCCAGATGCAAATGGTGAAGGAGGAGAGGGTCATCGCAGCTGTTGGATGAACACTCCCAAAGATCTTTCTGGAGCGCATGGGGAACAGAATTGCTGTTTCATAGCCTGAAAAAGTTGATTAGGGAGAGGACATTAAGTACAAGTTGTTAGTACGTGCACAGGTAGGACCCTTGGCTCACACTCGCTTTGGGCTTTTCAGAGGGCTGTGAGCTCAGCTCATCCCATGGAATGGAGGAACCCACCTGCAGGATGCTTTGAAGAAGCTGTCAGATCTGATGGATGAGTTTGCTGCATATTTTATATGGCAGTGAGCCTAGGGGCTAGTCGTGCTGCTTGAGCAAGGCTCAGCTTTCCCTTCTCCACAGAAGCACATTCCTGCCCTGTACACATCGTACAGATGGGTTAGCTGCCTGCCTGTCCTGCTGCATTGCCCCTGCAGTCTGCATGGGTCACCAATAGAGATGGGTCCTGTCTGTGATGAGAGGTGAATGGAGCAACAGCTCTGTCTCACAGAGGTCCTTTTTTAGCCTCTGTGCCCTCTTTCATCATGACGTGATGGGAACAACAACGTTACAGTAAGCGGATGGGTTTGCTGCTCTGTCTCTCTGGAAGTCTGAGATACTGTGGTGTTCCTGGGATAGCAGCATGGAGCTGCTGGATCTCTGTGTCAGGAGCAGCTGCAGAGCAACCTGCAGGGCTGGATGCCACCGACAGCTTCTGAGCAGCAGGGCTGGGAGCATCCTTTCTGTGCAATGCAACGCGCTGGGGCAGGAGCCAAACCTGGAGCCAAACCCAGAGCAGTGCTGTATAGGAGAAGGGAGTGCTGGCAGACACGTGATGAGTTTGGGTTCTTTTAGGTCTCTCTTTTGTGACCCTGTCTGTAGGGCCATCAGGAACTGTGCACTGGTTAAGCACTGAGAATATGAACGTTTTAAAACAGTTCCTCTCCCATCACCAATCAGCCATATGTTACAATAGAAACTAGATAATTTAAGCTGCTCTCAGGAGTTCATGAAGCTTAGAGAATGATGATTACTGAGCACAAGACATCCTTGGTGTCCTATATGCTATTCCCTGGTCCTTAAATACAAGTGGGCATTCTAAGTTACATAGGGAAAAAGCAGGGCCCCCCGACAAGTAAGTTTCCTCTTTAGCTTAGAGCATCTGGAGGTTCTGTATGTATGGAAACTTCTGCTTTAGTGAATGAAGGCCTCTCTGTGTCCTTCAGGGCTGTGCTGCTGTGTTATTTCAGACTGCTTCCTCAAACCTGGGGCAGATTTTAGAATGTGAGAAGTCCCATCTGAACATGAGAAAGAACTTCCTTCCCATGATAGAGACAGAACCCTGGACAGGCTGCCCAGGGAGGTGGTAGGATCTCCAGAGGAGGGTTCAGAACCCACCTGGATACTTTTCTGCATAACCTCCTGCAGGAGACCTGCTCTGGGGGGCTGTGGGCTGCAGAGGTCCCTTCCAACCCATACGGTTCTGGGATTCTCTTTTTTTGGGGAGACTTGGGGGGCAGCTGCTGGGGATTCTCTTTAAGATGCTGTGAAGGAACTCTTTCACAGAGCAGCTTTTAGTTAGCAAGCTTTCTGGCTTTGTTATCAGGGGCTAAACAAAAT